GATGATTCTTACCTGTTTTTGTCCCTAGAGTTTCCCAATCAAGTCTATCATGAAGGGCTGGGATAACAGATGTTTGGCATAACCTCCCTCCCCCAACCCCTGGGACGTTTTACACCTAGACTCTCTCTCCCCGCCACAATGGCAGCATGCTGTTCTGCAGTGGGGTGTCTTTCTTGGTGAGGGCATCCTCCTGCCCCTATTTCTTGAGGAGCTCTCCCTTCCCTTAGAAGACAAAAGCCTCAAGCTCTTTACACTCCAACTTGGAGCAGACTAAGGTCAGGCTGGCACTATCTAGCCTGCGGATGACACTGTATTATTGCTTAAAGTTATCCAAAGTACTGTCCTACTTCATGCTTTATTCTCTGACTACATCTGAGAGGTTTATGCTCTGCGGCAAATTATAATTATGTAAGTAATAAATAACTTACATTCCAAGATTATTTTTTGAGATTTCCAAAGAAAACCATTCCAGGGACAGACACTAGGGGCCAAGCAAGGCATATTCTAGAATTATACTCAGACAAACTCTTACATAAGAACCAAAGAGCAAAAACTCGCAGGTGAAATATATCTTCTTCCCTATGTCAGGAGGAATAAGACAAAAGGAGGCAATTGTGGAAAGTAATCAAGATATATGTAGTGAAAGGAAGACAAGAGTTGTTTTAACAAGGTCTGTTTAAGAGTTCTCTTAGCCTTAACTCCTTCATTGGTGATCATAATGCAGACTTCAAAAGACAAGCTGTCTCTCTTTGGTAAACCTAGTATATAAATCATTAAACCTCTTTGAGGTTTCATTTTTCCTTTTAATCTGTCTTATGGGGGTATGGTGCTGCCAGCAGGTCAAGCTGCACCTGCGGGGTGAGTGCATCAACAGCCTGATGGTACCTTCAGGCTTCCTGATACCCTAAAACTGCTGCTGTGCCTAGCCAGACCCCAACAACTTGGGGCCAAGAAATTAAAGGGCCAAAAGTTAGGTATGTGGGAGCCACGCCCACAAACCACCTCCGTCTCAGCTATACAAGCTCTTTTATGGGCCTCATAGATAAATCTCAAAAGAGATCCAAAGCCACAGTTAATCTCAAACTCGCACATGGCTGCACGGACTGGGGTAAATCGGAGGGGAGCGGGTTGACCTGGTGGCCTACCCAAGCAGAGCCCTCAGCAGCCGCTTGCTTCCACAATCCAAAATCGCTGCCATACCCCCGGCCTGACTCCACCATCTCAGGATGGGCTTCGCCAAGAGATAATCTGCTGAAAACTCAGGTATGCTGGTTTTGTGACTGAGATCTCCGGGCTTTCTCAGAGTTGGGGTGGGTGACCTCCTCCTACTTACCAATACACATGGAAGCACTGGCAGTCACCCCCACGAACCAACTCCAGCATCACCCTGTAAGTTCTACTGCCAGCCTTGCTTCAGAGACCCCTAAGTAAATCTTGAAAGAGATCAAAAGCTGTAGAAAAGCTCAGACCTGTGCATGGTTGAACAGACTGGGGTAAACTGGAGGGGGGTGGGTTGGCCTGTGCCTGCCCAGGCAGAGCCCCCGGAAGCCACTTGCTTCCACAATCCAAAATCCACACCTCCAGCCTGACTCCACCATCTCAGGATGGACCTTACCAAGATATAATATGCTGAAGATTTTGTAATGTGGATCTTAGGGCATCAAGAGTCCTGACCCAGAGACACAGCAGCAAGTCCCAGAAGAATACCACAGTGCTAGAGATCTCTCTGGGCCCAATACTGAGCCAATTTCACTGGGGCACCCCAGATGGAGCAGGTGTGCTCTCCCCACCTACTCCAGATGGAATCCCGGTGACCAAGAGCTTCCACAAGCAAGGACCAAGTATGTGGATTCCAGGACTGGATCTCCAGGCCACATGGTGGCAGAGGACACGGGCTGTCCCTTCCCTGGGATCCTGTCAGCCCAGCAGAGTGGCTGTTACACCCACAATTTGCCTCCAGGTCCCATCTTAGCGCACCAACAGCCCTGGCTCAGAGACACAGCAGTGAGTCCTGGAAGACACCACAGTGCTGGAGATCTCTCCGGGACCCATACCAAGCCAATTTCATGTGGGTACTTCAGATGGAGCAGGTGTAGACTCCCCGCCTACTCCAGATGGAAGCCCAGTGACCAAGAGTTTCCACAAGCAAGGTCCAGGTATGAGGGTTCCAGGACTGAATCTCCAGGCGGCATGGTGGCAGAGGACCAGGACTGTCCCTCCCTGGTTCTCACTCGTCCAGCAGACTGGCTGTCATGCCCACAATTTGACTCTGGGCACCATCTTAGTCCATCAACAGCCCTGGCCCAGAGACTCCCAATTGAATCCCAAAATGGATTAGTGCCATACAGATATGTCTCTGGAACCCAACCATTTTCAATCTAGAAATATACATTTATAATCGCGGCCATGTGAGCTTTCATGATATTCAAAATGAGCAATGGAAAATAAACGATCTAGGGGCTAGAGCGATAGCACAGCAGGTAGGGCGTTTGCCTTGCATGCGGCCAACCTGGGTTCGATTTCCAGCATTCCATATGGTCCCCCAAGCACCACTAGGAGTAATTCCTGAGTGCAGAGCCAGGAGTAATCCCTGAGTGAGCATCGCCAGGTGTGACCCAAAAAGGAAAAAAAAAAAAAAAAGAAAAGAAAAGAAACGATCTAGCGTCTGCCCCTGGCAGGTAGGCTTGAATGGTGGTGGGAAGTTTTGAGCAAAACATAATGCCCAAAACGAGAGAGAGTATTGGGGAAACTCTGTCATAAAGGCAGAGTGAGGACTGGGATGTGTGTGGTGGAGAAGGTGCACTGGTGGAGGGACAGGTGTTTCATCATTGTATGACTGAATCTCAAACAAGAAAGCTTTGTAACTCTGACAGTGATATAATAAAAAAAAAAAAAGAATGTGGAGTTCACGCCCAATTCAATCAGCATAATCAATGGCTGAACAAACATCAGTACTCCTACATTATTAAAAAAAAAATCTGTCTTAGGTCACTGTGATTTTTGTTTTGTTTTTTTGGTTCACCTGATGATGTGCAATAGTTACCCTTGGCTCCACACTTAGGAATCACTCCTGGCAGGGCTTGGGGGGGATCATATGAGATGCTGGGGATCAAACCTGGGTGGGCTTCATGCAAGGCAAGTGCTGTAGCTGTTGTACAATCTCTCTGGTCCCAGGTCACTGTGATTCTTGGACTCAGTAAAAGACCCCCCCCCCCCAAAAAAAAAATAATAGAGGTAAAGTTTTGTACTTATTTAAGTTGTAAGAATTTCCTGAATGGGGCTGAATTGTGGAAATATATTACTTTGGGTTTCTGAAGTAAATCCTTAGAATATTAAACATATCATCTTCAGAAGCAAGTACAAAAATATATTTCAGTTTCATTTGAATTTTTCGTGGGGTGGTGCACAGGGGCTATTTCTGATTCTGCGATCCAGGAGTGACCTCTGGAGTGATGATATGTAGCACCTCGGATTGAGTTCCACCGGGCAGAGAAGCTCCTTAATCCCTGTACTATCTTTCTGGATCTGATGTGATTTTTAAATATTATTTCCACTGTTTATTTCCAAGGTAAGGTAAAAGCCCTCCCGTTGTTCATCGATTTGCTCAAGCGGGCCCAGTAACGTCTCCATTGGAGACTTTGTTGTTACTGTGTTTGGCATATTGAATACGTCACGGGTAGCTTGCCAGGCTCTGCCGTGCGGGCGAGATACTCTCGGTAGCTTGCCGGGCTCTTCGAGAGGGGCGGAGGTATTTCCAAGAATGAATGTTTAAGTGATATTATCAATTATGGGATAGCAGTTGTTATTTTCCTAATTGTTTCAACTAAGTAGGAGGACAAGGTGGGGGTATTATATAATATAGTTGGAAATGAGAAAGCAGAGAAATTTATATATGAACCCGGTTCAATCCCTGATACTACATATGACCCCAAGCCCTGCCAGGAGTAAATCTTAAGCACAGCTGGGTGCAGCTTTAACCCTCCTTCCCCCCCAAAAAAAAACAGTAAACCCAAAAAAATCCCAAAATGCAATGTTCTTTAGTACTTAAAAATGCTTAGTCATAGCACTAATGTTTAGAAATATCAAATAATGTTTAAGTTATATTTTATAAAAAGAGGTTAAAAACAGAGAGAATTAAATATTTGATGAAGTTCTATCTTGTCTCCTGACAAAAGTATATATATTAAAGGGGAAAAAACTGCATGCAGAAGGCATTTAATGAATGTTTGAACAGAATCATCAATCAACCAAAAATACACTTATTCCAATAAATATACACTAGAAATCAGTAATGCTATTAGAATTGTGTCCAGGAATTGAATGGTCTGATGGCCTAAACCAATGTTTCCCCAAAATAGATGACACCATCCATTGGTGGGGTTTTGGGGATGAGTTGCAGGGACGATCCAGGAAATGGGTAGTAGATTGGGGCCACTTTGTTCACTTAAGACATTAAATTCTGGGGGAGCACTGAGTAACTTTTTATCTGAAAAGGGGGCAGTAGGCCAAATAATTCTAGCAACCTGTAGTAAAGTGGAAAAGTAAATCTCCATAATAGTCTTTTTATTCTAGCATTTTGTGATTCCAGCTGTTACTCCTTTGTAAAGATTTACCACTTATTCTCACTCCTTCCTGCTTTCCTCCTGGTGCTTTCTGCACAAATACAAAACTGGAGATTCAGACTCGGGTTGGAAGATCACTCTCAGCTCTGAATTTCTTTCTCCTCCAGCTGGATATCCAAAGACAACTAAGATTTTCAATTTGACATGTTTGAGTTTCAGTTCCAGAATCATCTTCACAACAAGATATGGCGTCAGAGCCCATCATTTCCCACTGTAGGGCTGGAGCCCACCGATAAGGTTCAAAGCAATCGGCTCTCACAGCTGTAGGCAGGATGAAAGATGCCTGTGGTATAGGTCCTTTCACCCAGAGGCTCCCCATGCATATGTGATGAATAAAAACTCAGCAGGCCTGTAACCGGAGGAGAGAGGAACACTTACCTCAAGCTTCAGAACATCATGCTGAAGTTTGCGCTGAAATTCAAGGAAGTTTTTGATGGTCAGCTTCCCTTTGAGATCAGCTCCAAAGAAGTAGGTGATGAGGGCTGAGCACAGGCCAGACTTGAGGGTGTTACCAGTGGTAGGACGGTCTCGGTGCCGCATGCCCATGCTGGTTTGGGAACGAATGATGCTCTGAACCTAAAGGAAAAGCAAACCTCTCAGGAAAAACACTGAAAATCTCATTTGTCAAGTTCCAGGTGTCCAGCTTTATACTTTGACATCTCTATTATAATACAGGATAGTCAGAACAATGCTTCTATTTAAAAATAATTTTATCCAAGTGTATAAACTACAGAATTTTCTAATAGCAGTGTCAAGACGTGCCATCACTTAAATACTGCCTTTGAATATAAAGATTGCAGCTTCTGCCTTATGGTGGGAACTATGTTAGCCTCAAAAGTGTGGTATAGAGAATATAAAAAAAGACTGGGAAAATGGAGTCTTTTTTTCAAAAATTAATGCTATCACATTCTAAAAAGCTGGAGTCCAAACAATGTCTCACTGATGTGTAACTGTAAGTGTTCTTTCATTAAAAATCTGGATTTCAACTAGCAACAAACAACTCAGTAACTCCTTAGACAATGACTTTATTTAAAAATGTTTTTTAATTGTAGCACTGTGATTTACCTAGATGTTCATAATGCAGTTGATTCAAGCCTTAGATGTTCCAACACCTGTATATCACCAGCAGTGTGACCTTCCCTCCACCAATGACTCCAGTTTTCCACCATCACCCCAGACTGCCCTCTTGTAAGCACAAATTTACTTCATACCGCTTGTTATGACACAAAAGCAAATGGAATTATCAAACCTTAGGTCAGTAAGAGTGAATCTGTGACTATTGTTATATATCTCACAATAATGTTACTAACGTCACTGTCTGAGGATCTACTGTGCTGGTCAGTGCTAGTTGAACTGTTTATGTTATTGTTTAGGCTCAGTGAGCTTGTGTCTTCCATACAATTTTCCCATAAGATTTGCTATGATCCTACTCGTCTGAGAGTACTATGAAATTTTAAGGTGTTGTGTGATCCAGGAGCTCTAAAGAGAGATACTGTACCTTTGGCCCACATCCAAAAGAAAAAAAGCAACCGGTGTTGGCGTGGATGTGGAGAGAAAGGGACTCTCCTTCACTGCTGGTTGGAATGCCGACTGGTTCAGCCCTTTTGGAAAACAGTATGGATGATTCTCAAAAAATTAGAAACTGAGCTCCCATTTGACCCAGCAATACCACTCCTGGGAATATATCCCGGAGAGGCAAAAAAGTACAGTTGAAATGACATCTGCACTTCTATGTTCATTGCTGAACTATTTTGCTGAACTATTCACAATAGGCAAAATCTGGAAAAAACCCGAGTGCCTGAGAACAGATGACTTTGGTACATCTACACAATGGAGTACTATGCAGCTGTTAGAAAAAATGAAGTCATGAAATTTACATATAAGTGGTACGACATGAAAAATATCATGCTAAGCAAAATGAGTCAGAAAGAGAGGGACAGACATAGAAAGATTGCATTCATATGGGGAATATGAAGTAACAAATTGGGAGACCAACACCCAAGAATAGCCAAGATAAGTACCAGGAGGTTCACTCCATGGCTTGGAGACCAGTCGCACATGCTGGGGGAGAGGGCAGCTCAGATGGTGGGGGGAGGCACCAAATAAAGGGTGTTGGGAGGATCCTCCCAGGATGAGAGATGCATACTGAAAATAGACTATAGACTGAGCATGATTGCCACTCAATGCCTCTTTTGCAAACCACAGCACCCAAAAGGAAAGAGAGACCAAAAGGGAATGCCCTGCCACAGGGGTGGGGAGTGGGAGGGATGCTGGGAGCATTGGAGGTGGGGAATGGGCACTGGTGGAGGGATGGGTACTCAATCACTGTATAACTGAAACCCAAGCACAAAAATTTGTTAAGTCTACAACTGTATCTCATCGTGTTTCACTAATAAAAATTAAAAAAAAAAAGAGATATGTAGAAGAAACTGGACTTGGAGAAGGAAATGGCACTGGATATAGCTTTCAACCTGCAAGAAAGCCCCAGTCTACATCAGAAAAATTGGTCCCAACCCTGATGAATGCCCTTAGTTTTTCTGGGAAGAAAAACCAGAGGATAAAAGCTGGAGTAACTGCAATCTTGGAAAATGTGGAGGGAAATCATAAGGAGAAAGCCAAAAGGTGAACTCTAAATTCTATATAAAAACTCTGGCTGGGGCTGAAGCAATAGTATGGTGGGTTAGCTAACCCGGGTTTGATCCGTGGCATACCATGTGGTTTCCAGAGCACTGCCAGGAGTAATTTCTGAGTGCAGAGCCATGAGTAACCCCTGAGCATCGCTAGGTATGGCTCCAAACCCAAAGCAAAATAAAACAAAGTTAAAAAATTAAAAACTTGACTATAAATAGTTGAGCTATTTGTCTGCTAAAACAAAGTAAAACACAAATAGTCTTTACATGGACGTAGAGTTTACTACTAATTCAGACTAATCCAAAATTACTTATGAAAAAAGGGAAAAATACGGTGGTTCCCAGAGGGAAAACAGAGTGGAGTGGGAGGAATGAGGGGGGTCTTTTAATGGTGGGATAGTATGGAACTTTGGCGGTTGGCATGGTGACAATTATATAGAGAGGTGTGAAGCTAAAAAACAGTTTTTCCAACTGAAGGGAAATGATACCATATGGAAACTAAGATCTTCAGAAAGGAATGAAGGGCATTAGAAATGATAAATATGTGAGAAATTTTTCTCTTTCTCTTGAAAAACATGACTACTCCCAAAATTATCACCCATACAGATGTTAATACAGACAGCTAAAGAATAAAGAATGAAGAAGGTTGCAAATGGAACTATATGGTTACCAAATTTCTACATCTTATGTGATGTATATATTTTCTGTTCTTTATTATTCTTTTCTTTCTGGGCCACAGCCAAGAGTCCTCTGGAACCATTTATTCCTGGCTTGTTTTCAGGAGCTTCCTCTGGCGGTTCGTGTGGGACCATATGTGGTGCCAGGAATTCAAACCAGGGGATGGTGGAATGCAAGGCAAGCACCTTTACTCCTTGCACTAACTCTAGGGCCCCAAGTCGTGCAATGTTTTTCAAAAATTTTATTTAAACATCATGAATTACAAAGTTATTCGGCATTGGGTTTTTGATGTACAATGTTCCACCACCAATCCCCCAGGCAGTATAAATTTACCTCCACCAGTGTTCCCAGATAGCCTCCTGCTACCCTGCCACCCCGGCCCCAGCCTGTCATTTTGACTGGCACCTTTAAATTTGGTTATTAAAGTTTGGATCTCTCGATTTCAGTGTTGTTGACTCTGTGATTGGGATATTTAGCTCTATCATTCCTTAGCACCAAGTGGTGCAATTTTAATTCTAGGTAGATGAATGTACCAACAAGCCTTTGCTTAAATAATGCTTCAGTCAGTGATGGATGGCATAACCAGCCATAGTCCCAATAAGCCACATAGTTTGGCACATAGCCATTTGTATCACCCAGGCTTGTGTAATTACACTCTAATATTCTTGCAAGGACAAAATCATTTACTGACACATTTCTCAGAACTGTTTTCACTGTTAGGCAATACTGACTATGTATTTAGGAATGTGTATTGTTAAGTGCTAGAAAAAAACCATTATAAAAAATAATGCAAAGAGGTATGGCTAAAATATTATGTGAATTAAATTATAATTCTCAAAACAATATTTATTTAATCCATAAGAAGGTACAAACACAAAAATGAGGAAGGCAAATCAGAAAGAACAAAGAAAAAACAAACTACAAAAATCCAATTAAAAAATCCAACTTAAGCAATAAATTGGTACATGACGTGGTCTAAATCCTACAAATGAAAGGCAGAGATTGTGGATGGTCAAAAAAATCAAGTCTCAACTATATGTTGCTTATAAAAGATGTACTTTAAGGAACGAAGAGATAATACAGTGCAAAAGGCACTTGCCTTGCATGGCATCTCCAGCACTACATATGGTTCCTGTGTACTGCCAGGGGTGATGCCTGAGCAAAGAGCCATAAATCAGCTCTGAGCACTGCTAGGGGAGTGCTCCAAACATACACTTTAGAGGGTAGAAAGATAGTGCAAGGATTAACATTCTGGTCCTGCATGATGCTGACCCTAGTTCAACCAACAATATATATAGTCCCATGAGCACCTCCTGAGCACAGAAGAAGGAAGAGCCCCTGAGCACTGCCAAGTGTGGCCCAGCACTCCTTCCCCAAACTAAAAATAAAAATAAGAAAATTTAAAAAATAATCCATTAAGTGTTAAAAAAAACTGACTAGCACCCGAGTATACCGACTAAAGCCCAAGGCACTCCCAGGCAAAAATGTGAAATCTGAATGCACTGAAAAGAGCTCTCTAGGACAACTTGCCTGTTCAAACTCCTCCATGTCCACTTCTCCGTCTCCGTTCAAGTCAAACATCTTGAAAGCAATTTCAAAATTTCTCTGCGGAGCTATAATAGAAGGGATAGGACAAGAGGAGGCAGGAAAAAAAGCAAAAAGGAAACATTTAGAGGTCACTGACCAAAATTTTTAAAAAAATTTAAGAAAATTAAACATTAAATTATACTTTCATGTCACAGAAGAGCTTCATATTTATCTTGGTATCTATTAATAAACTCCTAAATACAAAAGAGAATTTTATAATTGTCAGTAATGTTAGTGCCTCAGCCTCCTACTTCCCATCATGTCCAAAGGCTACCAAACTGAGTAAATAAAACTGAAGTTAAAAAGCCACAACAAAAGTATAAAACTTGAGAAGATGGTGAATATACATCAATATGTATAAACATATATATGTTTTTTTTTTCTTTTTTTCTTTTTGGGTCACATCTGGCAATACCCTCAGGAATTACTCCTGGCACTGCTCGGGGACCATATGGGATGCTGGGAATCGAACCCGGGTCAGACATGTACGAAGCAAACGCCCTAACTGCTGTGCTATTGCTCCAGCCTGAGAAGATGGTTTTCTTCTCCTTAATTAAATGATAAAAGTAAAAATTCTTTAAAACTTTTTTTGAGGGGGGTGCTTCCCAAGCAGTGCTTAGGAGGTGTGTGTATGGGGAGATGGTCACTGGCTATGATTCAGCCAACTGGGCTGGATGAGTTCATGCTTTGGCATGAGGATGCAGCAGTGCTCAGGACCACTGGGGTCCCCCAGCAGTACTTGGGGGGCCTTGAGGGCTAAACCCAATGGTGTTGGGGGGGCCGTGTGGTACCAGGGGTCCTGCCTGTGCTATGTGGCTCCAATACTATTGCCCCAGCCTCTGTGACTTCTACAGTACTCCTACATCAATTAGAACAGAATTTGTATACCTGTAGAGGAAAATGAAACATAAATGTAACAGCCTTTCTTTTCTTTTCCCTTGTTTTTCAGTTGGGGGATAGAACCAAGAACCTCTCCTGTGCAAGGCAAGTGCTCCACTACTGGGCACATTTTCCTTATATTAGTCAAGAAAATCTCCATTGTGACACTCGTTACTGTGTTTGGCATATTGAGTACGTCACGGGTAGCTTGCCAGGCTTTGCAGTGCAGGCAAGATACTCTTGGTAGCTTGCCAGGCTCTCCAAGAGGGGCGGAGAAATCGAACCTGGGTCAGCCAGGTTGGCCGCATGCTGGGCCCGCTGGAGCAAATCGATGAACAACGGGAGGACAGTGTGTGACAGTGACAGTTAAGAAAATAAAGTTGTTTACTTCCTCTAAAGCTTCAAATTTATCTAGCTATAGAGATAAACCAAAACAAAATATCCAAATGAAATGACTTTTTCAGTTAATTTCTGGAGGAGGTCTCCCAGGCCACCGCTTGGGCCACTGTTTGAGCTCTACAGTGAGGACCACCCGGGCCTCACCTGGTAATGCTTAGGGGAATCCGTGTGTTGCTGAGGATCAACACTCAGGTTAGACATAAATCCCAATCCCCGGACTATCTCTCTGACCCTCTAATTAATATTATTTTTTACTAACAATTTTAAAGGTCATAGGTTGAGAACAACAAAAAGGCTTATTACATTATTTGAGCCTTTTAAATAATGTACTTAAGAAGAACTCATATTCCATCCTGTGTATGAATTTGTCAACAGTGACATCTTCTAGGCTTAAATATCACTTTGAGCTAGTCATTTGACAAGCTCCCGGTTTTGGGCACCTCGATGAATCATGTGTCAGCGACCAATTGCCAATCTTGCTGGGTCATGGCTCCCAGGAACATATTTGCTCCTCTAGATGGCACAAAGGTAATTGTGGGGAATGGTGCAGCTGACAGGACATGTGTATTTATTGCTAGTCTGTCATTTCCCCCCTGCTGAATGCTATCTTTCACTTGACAGTTACTATATGGGAAGCACTGAGCCAGGTAAGTAGAGAAGCTGTTGGTTATCTGATTTTGTTTGTATTCATCACCCAGAAAAGCTTTGTTGCTTTAATTTTTAAACAGGGAGAAGTGGAGCTCAAATCCATTCGACAGCAAATTCAAAATCACACAGCTAATAGATGGCAGAACTTGGAAGTAAATCTAGGTCAAAAGCGACCCCGGAATCCACAGACGTTTCATTATGCTCCTCAGCCTCCCATGTAAAGACTGCAGGACCTAAAATAATAAATTTTCTGCATTCGAAGAGCTTTGACTTAGAAATAAAAGAAAATAAAATATGAATCACTGATTGTTACATCAGTCTTGACAAAACAGTAAGAAGTTCATCCTTTTCTTTTATTATATTTTAGTTTGGGGTCACATTTTGTTTCTGAGGACCACATAGGGCTGAGGATCAAACACAGGGTCACTGATTGCAAAGGGGACACTCCAGCCCTTCTCACCATCTCCCTTACCCTCAAGTTGTTCATCTTACGGGCACAGTTGACATCAAAGAAAGAGTACACAGGTCATGCTCTGCAGTTTAGATTTGGCTATTTGGAAAGTCACAGGGAAAATTACATTTCCCCATCTAATTATATACCATATATAAAATATATTTAATATTTAATATATAAAATATATTTAATATTTAAAATATTAAAATTTTGAATATGAATTTTTAAGAAGAAATATATTTTCTTACTTTTCACTAGCCGCACACTTGGAATACTTTGTTCACAGACATTATTTGTCCATTCCTCATAGATATTTGAGAATGTAACAATTTCAGACAGACAAAAGCCACTGAAACTTTTCAGTTGGGGAGGGACAAAATAAAAAATGCTTTTATAGAGTATCTCTCGGGCCACACTTTGAGGAATGACTTGGAAAAATAAGAACTAGATACTGATCATAGAAGCTCTTATAAAAGGTAGCACTGCATTGTAGCAATGTCCTCTCGTTCATCGATTTGCTCGAGTGGGCACCAGTAACATCTCACAACAAATTGTGGGACTTGTTTCTGTTTTTGGCATATGGAGTACGTCACGGGTAGCTTGCCAGGCTTAAAACGTATCTATAAAAGGTATCTCTGCAAAATTATTAAAAATCAATAAAATTTTTTTGCCTCTGTGTGTGCTAACAGAATGGGCTGATTTAGTATTTTTCAAAGTTGACTGCAACTTGCCATTGAGAAAGCTACCTTCAAACCATTCAGGTAGAGGACTGGAGCAATAGCACAGTGGGTAGGACGTTTTCATTAGAATAAAGTACAGCATGAAGCTAGCAAAGGAAATACTGCAATAATTTGTGGAGAAAATAATTTACCCTTTGATTTATCTGCTTTATAGACTAGATTTTGGATCATTGCTCTTAATGTGAAACAGTGTGAATACCTTCTCTCTTGTGAATTCATATTTGCCCAGCTTAAAAGCAACTCTCTGACAAATTAAATGAATGCATGAAGACTGAAATAAATCATGTAATCATTCAGGGGCTTCACGGAGTCACTGTATTAAATTAGTCCTAAATAAAAGATTAGCTATTCAAAGTACAGTCCATAGAGAGATGGTCCAGATACATAAATACATTTAACTAAATGCTAAGCCTTGATATGTGTGATTTTTCAAAATAGAAAAGTTTGGAGAGTTCTTGAAAACTTAAGAAAGCAGAACTACATTATGATTCAGCAATTCAACCATTTGCGTTCATCCATCCAAACAAACACAAAAACACATTAAAAAAACTACCCAGTAATTCCATTTAGAAGTGTCTAAGAATAGAAGTTACTGTTCTGTTCGCTACTTTAAAAAGGTATATGAACACCTATATACACTGCAGCAATATTTACAATAGTTTAAATTTGGAAACAATTTACATTAAGATTAGTAGATAAAGGTATACATATTCAATGGAATGTAACTCAGTTATTAGAAAAAGATAAAATCAGAAACAAAAATTGGACAAACTGGCAGGCTACTGAATGTAACCTGCCCACACGGCAGAGTCTGGCAAACTCCCCATGGCGTACCCAATATGCCAAATACCAGTAACAATGATGGGTCTCCTTCTCCTAACTCTTAAAGAGCCTTGAATATGGCACTTTTTAAAAAATCTCAGGGCTAGGACGAAGGAGACGTTACTGGGGCCTGCTCGAGGCAATTGACGAATAACAGGATGGTCGTGATCGTGATCATGAAAATCAGAAAAGATGAAATCTTGGACACACAAACAAATATTGGACCCAAGCAATTTGTTGCAGAGATGGCTCAGGACTTTGCAATAGCCTTTTTATGCCAGGACACTCCAGCTGGGGGCAGGTTCCGTCCCTCCGCCTGCCCTCAGGTATCCCAGGGGCCATCATATTCTAAAACTCAGCAAAAAGCTTCAGGTACGGGTGGCAGTGGCAGGAAAGGCCAGGCCTCATGGGACAGGGGAGGAGTCGGCCCTTCTCCTTCCCCCTGCCCCTGCCCCAATGGGACTCAGATGACGCCCACACACGACCACGGTCTATTTAAGCTCCCACACAGCCATAATTCAGAGACACACAAATGAATCTTGGACCTGAGCAACTTGCTGCAGTGATCTCTCCAAACCCTATTAAAATTTTAGAATTGCTAGAGCACATAGCTGCTCTTGCAGTCATGTGACATTATACTGTATCCATAACAAGCAATACAGAACACATTGTCTAGCATTGCATTTTTGGCAGGTTATGAGTGGTGGTGGAACTAGGCTCAAATATCGAAGGTAACCAAAGTAGAGAAAAAGTATCGTGCAAACTGTCTGCTACATAGGCGGGGTTAGGTGTGGAATGGGGGGGAGGGGGTACCAGGGACTTTGGTGGTGGAAAACATGCACTGGTGAAGGGATGGGTGTTTGATGTATGTATGAGTGAAGTTCAAACATGAAAGCTCTGTTGCTGTACCTCACAGTGAATCAATAAAAAGGAGGGGGGGGGAGGAAAAAAAAAGAAAGGATGAAATCTTGAAATCTCGCATTTAGCGAAAACATAGATAAAATTGGCAGGACTCACGATACTAAGCAAAATAAGTCAGAAGGAGAAAGACAAATATCAGATGTTGCCACTCATATGCGGGATA